TGCACTATATCTCTAGTGTCCCCACACAAGTAGCTATGAGATCAGCTATATTCATTATATAGATAGGTATATAGGACACCGGTATGTTTGGCTATCTCGATGTCTCTCTTGTGTAAATTATGATCAGAAATATTTAAAGTCTATGTTTAAAGGCGAATTGGTCTCATTATCATGATATCATCATGATCAAATTCCAATTACACAAATCCAAGGACATCATAATATATTCATTATCTAATATAAAGTGAGAAAAATATAATAATAATAATAATTAAAAATATTATACAGCATGTCACACGTGTCATTACTTACATGATTAGCTTGCAGGGTACTTGTAACTAGCAATATCCTACTTGACCTAAAGACAATCATCCACGTGCCTGATCCTCATCAGACCCTTATGACACTAAAAAATAATTTGAGATAATGACTTTATTAAGAGATCTGTAATGTTATTTTCGAATGAAACTATTTCCACTACTACCTCACTATGGGCTACAATCTCTTTAATTAAGTGGAACCTCTTCACAATGTGCTTAGTCTTCTAATAAGACTTAGGTTCCTTCGCTTGAGCAATCACCTCATTGTTGTTGCAATATAAGAGAATCAACTCCTCGATGCTTGGCACGACTCCTAGAACTTCTTCATTCAAACTGCCTCATTCACTACTTTTGCTATAATAATATACTTACTTCAGTGGTCAAGTCAGTAGTAGTGTATTGTTTGGAACTCTTCCAGCTTACTGCTCCTCCATTATGGGTAAACACATACCTTGAGTTTAATTTGCTATCATCGACATCAGATTGGAAACTCGAATTTGTGTTGCCATTAACCTTGAGGCTATCTTCTCCGTATATCAGTAAAAGATTCTTAATTCTTCTCTAGTACTTAAGGATACACTTTACTGCCTTCTAGTGTTCTAAACCTATATTTATCTAATATTTGTATATAACACTTAGAGCATGCACTATATTAAGCTTGGTATATTGCATAACATACATGATAGACCCTGTCGTTGATGTATATGATATCGTATCCATGTTTGCTTTTTTAACAAGAGTCTTTGGGGATATACTTCTAGAAAGTGATATTCTATGTCTTATCGGTATGAGACATCTCTTGGAATTTATTATACCAAACTTTTTGACAATGGTGTCTATGTAAGCATCCTCTTGAATTTATCTCTATAGATCCGAATCTCGAAAATGTAGGATACTTCCCCTAAGTTTTTCATGGAGAAGTGTCTAAATAACCAAGCCTTAAACATAGAGAGCATTCTTCCATCATTCCCAATGATTAGGATGTCATCCACATATAACACCAAGAAGGTGATAATACTCCCGCTTACTTTCTTATATATACAAGACTTATTTTCGTTCTTAATAAAGTCATAAGATCTTATCGTCTTATTAAATCTTATTTTTAATTTTGAGAAGCTTGCTTTAGTCTATAAATAGACTTAAATCTACATATCTTATTTAGATTTTTTTTGGATACGAATTCCTCAGACTATATCATATACACCTCATAGGGGTTGTCATTAAGGAACATGATTTTTATTTCCAACTACTAGATCTCATAATCATAGCGTGCTACAATGACCAATAGAATTCGAATGGATTTCAACAGTCATGGGTGAGAAGGTTTCGTCATAGTCAATAACTTACCTTTGATGATACCTTGTAGCCACCAACTTTGCCTTATAAGTCTCTATCTTTCCATCTAGTATGATCTTCTTCTTGAAAATTCACTTGGAACCTATGGGTACAATACCTTTAGGTGCATCAACTAGGTTCCAAACCTTGTTAGAGTACTTGGAATTCATTTCAGAATTCATGACCTCTTATCACTTCTTAGAGTCTATGCTCATAATAGCCTTCTCATAGGTCAGATGATCGATATCCTCAATGTTATCACCTTTGATATGTCTCATATATCTCTTTGGAGAGCTGGACACTCTATCAGACCTATGCAAAGTCGAAACTTATGTACTAGGTACTTAAATGATTCGTCTTATGGAATAATGCTTGAGCTATGTTCTTCAACCTCACTCAACTCTATCACGCTCTCACTATTTCCACCAAGAATATGTTCTTTCTCAAGAAACACTGCCCTCTTGGCAATAAAGACCTTTTGATCCTCGAGATGATAGAAATAATACCCATAAGTCTTTTTGGGGTATCCCATGAACTTGCACCATTCTATCATTGATTCCAACTTGTCGGGATTGTCTCCTAATATGGGCAGGGTAGTCTCAAATCTTAACAATCTTAAGATCGAGCTTCTTCCCTTTCTATATGTCATATAGTATAGACACTACCACTTTTGATGAAACTTTATTCAGAAGATAAGCTACAGACTCTAAGGCATAGCCCGAAAAAGATACGGGTAGGTTAACGAAACTCCTCATGGGCCGTCCTATATCCAACAACATACGGTTCCTCTTTTCTGAGTTGAGGTATATAAGATGATAGATTCCCAAACAATTGATGTTCCCAAATAATTTCATATGTTGGTTAATCCATATTCTGATCATTAAGTGTAATAGATTCAATTGATCATCCTATAAAAACTATATAAATCACTTTAATATTTATATTAGAGGTGTATTCAAATGATTAAAAAAAATAATGAAAATTAATATTTCTTAACTAGTGTGAAGGATGCACCTTGGCCGTTTTATAGTGTATCGGAGTGACCATTGAGCTAAGGTATTAGTTAATGCCAAAAATATATGTGCATCATTCAACTATCATCGAGTCATAGGTTCATATGTCAAACCATCAACATTACAATTATGGAGTAACGATTCACTTTAACGCCAAAGATGTGGTGTCTTATCAGGTTGCGAACGAGCCATAACCTCATATCATATGCCTCGTTTTAATGCATAAAAATGGTTGACAGACGATTTGTCTAGTAGGCTACTGTTCACAACACTAACCACATGGTTGTTTATGATGTTTATTGGTTGTTTGGAGGTTGACTATAGTCACATCATTTTCTTGACCTTAATTTGACCACGCCATTGTAGGTGGATGTTGTATGGTCGATTCAATCATATCATTAGAGATGGGTGTTTTATGGTTAAATTTGATCATGTCATGGTAGATGAACGCTTCATGATCGATTCAATTATGTCATTATAAATGAATGTTTCTCGGGTTTAGCCGGATCATTATAGATAGATACTTCATGATCAGGTTTGACCAATGTCATAAGATGAACATGTCATTAGCGGAGTTGATTATGCAGTCATAAATGGATATTTCATGGTCGGATTCGACCATGTTATCATGGATGGGTGCTTCATGATTGATTCAATAGCATTATCATAAATGGATGCTTCATGACTGATTCGACCATGTCAGAATAGTGGGATGCTTCGTGATCATTTCGATCATATCGTTTTACCTCCAAATTATGTGTATCCTACATATCATTAGCTTTAATCGCTTTGGGTTTTGGCTTATATAAAAAACACTACAGGGGTTCATCTATCTGTGTTGCTTCAGTTTTTATAAGCATGTCTTCTTAATTATCATTCTTGATCCGATTTGATTCAGTTTTTAATGATTGCATGGCGATTGTCTTCTAGAAGCTAATTAGGAGTCTACATATTACATTGATATTCAGCTAATTGGTCTCAGTGCTCAATCTGCTATGGCCAAACATATGAATGCAACGCCACCCTTTCAGTTGAACCGTCGGACAAGCATCATAACTTGAGGATGCATTCGTGAAGCGTATACAAGGAGGAAACCATCCTTCATTCATTTGTCTTTTTGTAAATATTTTAGCTTGACATTTCGAACTATTGAGCTTTAGAATATTGACATTAGCTTGACATTTCGATCATGAAGATACGAATGATACATCCATGAAGCGTCTATCTATGATGATGTAGCTAAATCAGATATGAAGTATTTCTTTTTGATAAAACGATCGAATCAACCAAGAAGCATTCATCTATGATAACATGGTCGAATCTTGCCATGAAATGTCCACTCTACGATGATATGGTTGAATTGGCCACAATGCATCAATCTATGACGATGCGATTGATCCCAAAGCGACTAAAGTCAATGGCATGGCACACATATGTAACAAGGAGTTATAATGATGTAGTTGAATCAACTATGAAGCATCCATCTATGACAACTTAATAGAATAGATCATGAGGCATCCTTATATAATGATGCGATCAAACCTATTTCTTCTATGATGGCACGATCAAATCGAGCATGATATATCCATCTACGATGATACGATCGAATCAAACCATGAAAGATTCGTGTATAATGACACATCCAAATTAGCCATATGTTGACGTGATTGAATCTAATCATAAAACATCCATCTAAGATGACATGATCGAATCTATGATGCACCGTCGATCCCGAACCTTGATTCATGAACCAAGCCACAAATCATTGTTGAATGATGATACTCGACCTCAAAATAACCATTGAACAACATAGGCAATCACACGGTAAGTGACACGATCCAAAATGAAACAAGAAACATTTTTTCTTGTGTTGAAACAAGACAAGGGTAGATGATACGAGGGTATTCCACGGAGGCAACCCGATGATGATATGTCCTTCCTCCTAATCCATGTGCTTCCTCCTAATCCATACAATGTCGAAAGATGCACGGCTTCGCCTCCAAACTTAGATCATTTAAACAGAACTCCCCTCGTGAATGAGAGGAGTCAACACCATTTAAGCAACCACCGATCGAAGCGATGACCAACCGACGGTGGAGAATACCTGAACAGGCAAAGGGTCTCCGTTTATCTCTCTCTAGAGTTGTCCCACAAAACCTTCATGAAAACTTTACTAATCTGCTCAAGAAAACTTGCAAGAGATCTAAACTCTGAAGCTAGAGGCTTTATATCACTAAAATAATTCAAATTTAGCTGCAGCTCGAGAGAAAGCATCTCACTTCCAAGATTCATTTGTTCACAAAAAAAATTAGTTTCAAGTACAACACATAAAGGTACAAAAACAATCGCAATAATCATACAGTTAACCAGATGGTAACCGATCCCAAAACAAATCAACAAGAAGATGACAATATCTACAAACTATAAAGACACACCACAGAAATCAGAATCACCGATCTCCTAGTAAAAAATAGGATAAGAAAACGAATGAAATAACTAATAGAACAGCATCCTTTAAGATGCGTGCGGAAGTCAGGCTATGGACAAACTTTCAAACTAAACCTGTGACTTGTAGTTCTGTTAGGAATTGTGGCTGCTCTCACTTGCAGCGATAGAGTTCTCTAGATTGAGAACATTTGATCGAGCCCTTTCTGATGTTTAGACCTGGCAGAACCTTGAGCTGACCCTGCTGCATCATATCTGAAGGCACATCATTGTGATAGAGTTGAGATTGACAAAACTGAGCATGACATTCAAGGCCCTGTGGATGAATTTTCGGTTGCTCCTCAGATGGCATCATAAATGATGAATAGGGAAGATTTAAAAGTCCCAGATTATAAGGCTCGCTTTTATTCACTTTTCCTCCTGTTACAATATGAAGCCTTTCAACTTCCTTCTTCAAAGCATCACTGACACCTGCAGCCACATTGTGGTTGTATTTAGAAAGGATATTTCCATGATAAAGAAATTTACTCTTTATCCAATTGTCCTAGCAGTGTATCTAACAAAGGAAGAGCATCATGACTGTAATTTTGACATGAAAATCAGTTTTCTAGGGTGCAAATGGAAACAGCATTAACTGGAATTTGATATCACTAATTTTGTTCATTGGAAACACCTAGAAGATAATCAAAGAAATGCTCCACCAGGAGAATCAACAAATGATAATATTTCTACAAATCAAATCTAAGCCCTCTATTCTATCATATGCATGACAAAATAAAATGTTAAAATTACCTTCCATGCCTCGATGCACACCTACAAAGAATACTTTGTTGCATGAAATAACACAACACTAATATTACGTTTTCCCGCTCAACCGAAGGTTAAACTACTTTATGATCAGGCTACACCTATCTCAAACAAAATTTCAGTTGCAAGTAAAAAATTGTTGAATTTTTAGTTGCAAAACACAGATTTATTTGTGTAATTAGATATATCAGGAATAAGTTTTTTTTTGTCTCTGGTATATTATTTGTTTGGATATTTTAAGAAAAATAACATTAAAAAAGTTAAAAGAGAAAAAAGAAACCAGATAAATCACATTTATCGGTTACTTGGCAAATTCAAACACTGATGGAATAGATGGGGAAACAAACTGCACTGCAGTGACATACCGGGTTTCGGGGAAACAAGGCCCCGTATTAATCTTGTAGACCATGTGGTTAACAAAAATATTCAGTATTCTTCATTCTGACAATCCCCAAACTGAAGAATTTAGTCCATGTTTTAGAAGGCAACATTCTTGAAGCTTCAACCTAGTGCCTACTGCATAAAACTCACATAATCAATTCCAAGAATACGAAATGAAAATTGATCTAATAAGTTCTTCAGCAGTGATCGTCCTTATTTGGCTTCGCCTGACATGAAAAATTGTGCGACACATCTGTAAGGCCTGAAAACTTAGAACTGTGCAACAGTGGTTGGTCTTATATTGTAATCAGAAATTTCCATACACTTAATGGATGTGTGAAACTCACAGAATCATTTCCAAAAATATGAAACAAAATTTGACCTAATAAGTTCTTCATCAGTGTACATATTGGTTCGGTCTGGCATGACATGAAAAATTGCCCTACACCTTTGTCAGGCCTGTAAACTTAGTGCTAAGCAACAACAGAATGGTCTTATATTGTGTTCAAAATATCCTGTACACTTGGAACTCACAAACGATAGAGGAATCCTACATCCTAAGCCATCAGTAGCTTTGGCAGGAATGATGCTTCTCCGTTCCCACTTCTTCCACCAATGACCTAATAATCTTTATCAACTCTTAACCATTTCTCTCTGCAGCGGCTAGGAAAAATTGCCCATGTCACCATACCTCATGATGTAGGACGAGCAGCAGTGAATTTCTTTTTGATAATAGAGAGATAAAACAAAAAAAAAGTAAATAAAAGATAATAGAAAAAGACTTGGATAACTACCATACTCGCTCTAACTCAAAGAGAACACTCCCAAGATGAAGACCTCACACCTCCACATCTCTCACACGTGGATGATGGGATCATTCCACCAGAAAAGTAACTTGTGGCCTCGCACCACTCATACACAAAGTGGGAAAAGGACGTAATTCATCGATTCATTTCTGTTTCACCATTACAATGCTATATCCCCATTTTATAGGCTCAAGCACAAGAATAAAAAGAAAAGTGCCAAAATAATGAAAATTACAATCACATCAAATCAAATATATGATATCCTCTTTCCGAAGGTAATATTTCTAACTTGATTTGAAAAATAATCTTCCTCTCTTTACAATATTCTTGATTGATAAACTTTCATCTTTGTAGAGACAAATCTTCAGTCAAGATTTAATTAAAACAAATAGATTTCTTCGATCTTTTCTGCATTTGCTTCCTTTTTCTCCTTGTTGAGTAGATGTTGACATATGACAACTTATTACATATGCGAAATATCCTTAAACTAATCAGATCTCTTTAAATAAATTATAGACTAAATTGGTTCCATGTCACCTCAACAAGGAGAAAATCCCACAACATATATCAGAGTATCCAAGCATTTTGAAATATATTACCCTCATCAAGAAGATCCATCTGTGATTTTTTTTTAGCCTTATCACCAGAAAAGTCCCAGTTTCCTGGTTTGCCAAGAATTCAACCTACAGAGTGCTTCTATTCTACTATATATCAAGTGTTCTCGCTCATGTTTGACTTAAAAATTTTCCATTATACCTTTACTTAAATGTAAGCTCTAAAGTAACATGAGACTAATGACTTTTCTGGTCCATATTCGTTGGTTTTCTTGGTGCCTATATATGCTAAAAATTTGCAGTGATAATATCATCTCTTCTTTACCATGTTCCTTGGTCTCTTTCACTTTGATCAACCAAATATGAGCTCCAAATTAACACGACATCCATGATCATTCCAGTCTATAGCTTTTATACATTTCCATGCTTTTCTGAACCAGTTGTCAGTGAGAAACTGCACTGTTTTGCAAGTCTCTTTGAAAATTTTCTGTTGCTTCCATTTTGTAACATTTTAAGCAGACTATATAAACAGACATGGCAAACAGAAATGCTAGAGAACCCACATATTACTTAACTGTTTAAGTAAAACGAAAATCCTTAATGTTGTGGTGTATTAACATCTTGCCATGCTCCAACATCTAAAAACAAAATCCAGACTTAATAATATCAGTACTGCTTCCATAAGTAAACAATTACAGAACCATTGCTTTAAAACCAGGCTTTAAACAAAAAATCAATCATGGTGTTTGATGCACAGATTCCTTATATACAGTTATACTTTGCCCAGTGATGTGTTGTGCAGAAGGCGAAAACTTAAAAGGACAGGTAAATTGGATATTTAAGTGGAGAGACTCAGTGACATGGGAAACTCATATTCACACAAACTTAGAACAATGTTAGCTAAACAGATGGGTTCCAGGAAAGTATTTAAGTGTCAGTTTGTTTAGACCTCAGTGTGATGACAATGATGCCTACTGGATTTTATGTTTTGCCTGTGTCCTATGCCACCTTCACCCTGACAGTGAACATGCATGGATGGGCATGGAGGCAGCAGTTAGACACTTTTTTTCAGGAACTTATATACATCACTATCAAAGAATCAAATATTTGAAAAGAAGAAAGAAAAGAAATAAAAGGGAGGGCAGAATAAATAGGAAGAAGAATAAAAAAGGGGAACAGGGAGAGAAACAGAAAGAGAACTTGGAAATTGGGATCTCATTCAAGCAGAATATTCAATATTCTCTTCTCTCCCTAATCTTCTCAGTCTCCTTAACTCTCATCAAAGTTGCATCCATATCTAACCCTCGAATATGTTCAATTTTGAAGAAAACATATTGAGGTTACGATCCAGTTCTTGCATCAGGATCGTAGCCATAAATGGGGGCCTCTCTCTTTGTACCTGTACAAGTGTTGTGTTCGCTTATGCAATTTTGCTAACATGTTTGCAAATTTATATAAATATATTGTAAGGAATTTTTTAATACCATAGGACAGAAATTGCAAGATACCACCACAGGAAGGCAGAAATTAACTGGTCCATAGAAGGTTGAATTCAAAGATACATATTCATGTACATGTTCTCTTCTGCTCAAAAATTTACTGTAAGAAAGTTGAAAAATCTCACCATCATGCAATTGAGCTTGTTGCTCCATAGATTGTAACCATAACTTCAGTCCTGCATTTTCAGTGGCCAACTCAGATATATCTTTCTGGTAAGAAGAGTAAATAGTGAAGATAGGTAAGTCATATTTTCTAAGAAATTATGTTGACTTTAAGTGAAGCGACAAAGTAAATCCTGAAAAGATTTTCCCAGGAGAAAGACTCTCAAACTTGTTAAGTGCAGCTCCATGGCATACATGTTCTTCCAAATAGGCAGAGTGAATATTCTAGTCCTTATGACAACTCAGGCAATGAAAAATTTATTAGGCAAATGGATAAGAAAACAGAGTGCATACATGAAGCTTGACAAGTATAAGGAGAGAAATTCGATTAAAATAAGTAGTTTCAATGGAAATGAGAGTTATCCTGATTTTGAATGCATGGGAGTAGACCCTTTTATGGCATAAAAGGCAAATCCTGCTAAAGATAAGTTAAAAACTGAATCAGAACATATAATTTGGTTGTTCAAATCAAACAGAGAAGAGGTTGAAAAAACAATCTCTTACCATAGAGAGAACAAGATAGATGCACAAAAGGAGACTGTATTTTCCCTGATTAATATCATGTACAACTTCAATTATGACAGCTGTTGGACCCTCTCCTCCATAACTAAACTAACTAACTTCCCAGTTAGAGAAACTTATATAATATAAAAGAAAATAAGTCGGTTATTTCCTAGCCAACTAAAGATTCCTTCCAACTATTGCAACCGTACCATCCATCCTATAAAACATGAGTCTCATGGGAACATAATGATAAGATCCAAATGTAGCCAAATACATAGGACTTGATGACTCTTTCTAATTCCTGAATAACCAGGATCTAATCAGCCCTTGAAAACTAATCAGATCCAGTTGTTTTTCATTCTTATTTGGGGCCTCCTTTATAGGATATAAAATCAGTGATCTGTGAGTAATCGAAATTAAAACACCCCAGACGATCATTAGAATCTGCTGAATGCAAACTTACACATAGTCTGACTTAAACACAGCCCCGGTATCTGAGACTAAACCAAATCAATCTACCAAATGCAAAATATCAACTTGCTTAATCCTCAAACATAAGCTGACAACACTGTGATGTAAGCAAAATTAAATTAAAGGGGCCAGAAGTATGATGAACTTTACACGTCTAGTCCAATCAGAACCAAGATGATTAGTTGTTTTGATAACCGAAGCATAGTAGATGAATCAACTACAAGGCTAAAGTCAGCCAACAATAGCCCATTAAATATATTAACTGCCTTAAAGAGCAAGAAACAACAACTCTTCAAAGAACAAACGTATAACAACCTGAAGCAGCATGAGCTGCGCTGAAAGGGTTGTAGCTTCCGTTTGAAGAGTCTGGACTTTTCTCTCAAGTTCCAAAATATAATTTGCCTTGCGTTGTTTTGAGCGAGCTGCAGACTGCCGATTTGCTAGAATTCTGCAAATTGTCATGTCCAACAACTCAAAATATGCTTTTAATAGCAGCACATAAGCTTGAAGGGTAATACATTGATAAATTTATAAATAGAAAACAAATATGCACAAAGCATGTAGTAGTATCTATTTCAATTTTTCAGCATAAGTAATAATTACACTAGAGGGTTGTGGAAGCAAACAGGTACAATCAGGATCGAGTTGCTTATCTTGAATTAATAACCTAACAAACTTAAAATTATTATTTAAGTAAAGCCACACTCAAGTTTCTCATCATCGTAATGTCAATATATGTCAACTATTATGTCTCACTACAAATAAATGCTTGACATGATAGGATGTAGTATTTTAAACCCAATAATGCCAACAACAAAAAAGTTAGCACTGTAAGCTATGCTGATCATGCTTTCAGACAAGGAAGTTGTGATTTACAAAAAGATTTTTCTGCCTTTGATATCCGTTAATTGCCTTGTATTCTTTCTAATTCTTCTAATGGCAGATTAAAGAAATTGCAATTCTCATATGTGGGTTACAATTCAACTACTTGCCACATTTTGATTTTGATTTTTCATTTGATCGATCTTGATATGGTCGATGGAAACAAGTGATCAATAAGCCACTGAAAATTTCGAAGCAGCATTGGTGGTAAACATGAAGCATAGGGGGCAGAATCATAACAAGACTGAAATAGTTGGGGGAAAGTGCAAACCTCTTGGCCCTCCTTGGGTCGATCACCGCCAACTCTGCAAGTTTCTCGGGCGGCATGGCTTTCTTGGCCTCCATCACGTCCCCGAACACTCCCTCGACTCTAGAGCTCGACACATCGACGGAGCTGCCGTGCCGATGCATCGGCCGGGCGTCTCCACCGGCGGCATTGCCTTGCGCTCGAGTCTCCTCGTTCCCCGACGAACAATCCACCGCCATCCGATCCCGAGGAACCGAGTGGCCGGAGGCTTCTAAAGCGGGTGCTGCACCGTCCTCCACCCCGGATCCGATCTTCTCCACGTCCATGAAAGTCCGGAAGAAGTCGTCCTCGGAAACGGGGCCCAGGTGGAGGTCCTCGGAAATCCGGAAGGCCAGCTCGGAGTGCGCCCGCCTATGGTGAGGTCCTCGGAACTGCGGGGCGGCTGAGCGGGGATCCAGGTCGTCGGCGCACATAGACGACGGCGCATCGGGGGCGTTGCGGCGGGGGAGAATGGGATTGAGAGATGGGGGAGGGATCAAGGATTTTGACGGCATTTTGCCGCTGCCTCTCCTCCTCTTTAATTTGGTGACCAAGAAGAGGAAGAAAAAGAGGGAGAGGGAGAGGGAGAGAGATCTTCGGACACGGCTGAACTAGGGATGTCGAGAGGGCAGAGAGAGAGAGAGATGAATCTTAATCAATGGTTTCGGAAACACCCTAACTAGGGATGTCGAGAGAGAGAGAGAGAGATGAATCTTCTTCATCGATGGTTTCCATAGTCCCGCTCATAAATAAAGAAGCTTCTTTGCAAATTTTAGCATCTTTTTCCCATACGACTACTACTTTTTGTCTTAATAATCGCTCCTCTCCCCTCCTCCTCTCGTTTTGTGGGATGGTGATGATGATATCTTCGTGTCTTCTCCACGATATGGTTTCCTTTCCTTTCCTTTAAGTGTGACTTCAAATTGCATGCAGCATTTATGTCCCGACAAACGACGACTCGCACATGTACAACTAAATGGATGAATTGTACAACTAGAATCGATGGGGGGGGGGGGAGTGAAAAGTCCATACCCAAATAAAATGTAGCGTCAACATCGATCGTCGAAACACCTACGATCACGATGGCCGACTCTCAACACAAGGAAGCAAGCCACGGCCGTGAATGACCCTTCGAAACACCTCAAATTGGATCACGTTCAAGAATGTGATATTTCTTCTTCTTCTCCCATGCCCAGCCTGAAAGCATAAACCTTGGATTCGCAAGCCATTATTGATCGACCTAGATAGAGAATGCCGTACACATTTACAAACTTCGTATCTGATCCAAATACCAAGTCGATATGAGATTCTCACCTAGCTAACACTCCCACCTCACTCCACATGAGGTTGGGAGACTCCCAAACAGATAATATGACATCAAAAGAAGGCTAAGCTGACATTATCATTACTTTTTATCTTTAGGTTCCACATACGTAAGTAGTTGCATAGAAAAAAAAATTCTAAAAATATTTTTTTTGAATTCGGCTATAATGCTTTCTCTCTTTCTAATGACTCCATCGTTATGTGTTCATTAGAGATGAATATTACTCTTTATTATTTGATGTTTTCTCAAAAAAATGCACATAGATAATATTTGATGCTTAGTTCAAGGAGGGTGCATCGAGAAATCTTTGATGCTTAGTTCGATAATGATGCATATGTTCAATCCTTAATGTTAGCTTAAGAAGAATGCATGATCTTGGATGCTTAGTCCGAGGATGATGCATTGTGCCATCTTCGATGCCTAAGTTGGAAAAGATACATTAAACGATTTTCAATGTTTTACTTGAGGAGGATGCATAGAGTAATATTCAAATATGCCGAACAACCTTTAAAGAGAATGGGAATCTGTTAGTTACCAAGTGAAAAACCCGAGAAGTCGATGACCAAAAAGTTGAGGATAGAGAAGAAAAAAAAAAAAAAAGGTTAGCAAGCAAAGAGACATCTAGAACTATAATGTACCACTTGCATTCCAAAAACTTAAGAGCTCCCTGTTTGCTTTTAGTCCTCTAGTCTCTCGGACCTCCAAAACACTTCATGTTTTCTTCTTCTTTTCTCTTTATGATATCTTCTTCTTGGTTGAAGTAGTCAAGAGAGTCACTGTCATATAACGAAGAATCCTAGTCTTTGAACCTTTGGATAGAAAAATGAGGCAACTCAAACTCATCTACAGCGGACTGTGTCACTCTTACCCGAGCACAAGACTACAACCAAACATGTTTTGTTGTCTTCGAGCCATCGAAGTTAAAAGGAACCTACGCTGTCGATCGAAAGGAGTGCCCACTTACTCTGGCTCATGAGGCTTAATGGTGTGATCGATGAATGTGATCTCACGAGGGAATGGAACTCGATCCACCATCATCATCTCTGATACTACTACTGACATGCAAGTGCAAAAACCCAAAATCAAACATACAGAAACTAATAAATAGAGCAAGCAATCTGGAAGGAATTACATGAGAAACAGAGTGAGAAAGGCTAGCTAGATACCGGATTGAGGGAGGAGGAGATAATAACTAGTAAGAGAGAAAGCCTGTAGATGGTTGACACATCGGAGGGGACCTTTTTGTTTTCTTTTTGCTAGGTCCATGGCGAGGCATATCAATTCCATCATCGAAAAGCACCAGCGTTGTGCTATCTATCCCCAGTCCTGTGATGTCGATGCATGGGTGGGGGAGTTCCTTCCAACTTACACTCCCAGCGCTTAGTCCACACTGGTGAAATTTCTTCCCCATCGGTCTAGACATTAATCTTTGACTTGAACACCGAAAAGATAGTCTGAGGAGGACCCAATCTGTCCTCCATCGTTGGGTTCATCAGAGGAGGACATGACAAGCCGAAGACTAGTGGGTGCAGTCTGGTAAGCCAGAGCTTAGCATGTTCACAAAGCTTTTGAAGCAGCAGCAGCAGCCTCCTACCACACCATTCTTTGCCACCACTTTCAAAGTTGTTGACTGTTTCTTGTGGCTTGAAGCTTGACGTATGCACCTCTTAGTGAAGCCCGACTGCTCAAACCGTGCCTGATGATCTCATTTACCAACTATATTTTTCATGACCACAATCGTGTGGTAAAACCGACCGACTCATTGAAATCAAGTCTGGTCACTCGACTGACTTTGAACAACGAAATATAATATAATATAATATAATATAGACTTTTCCGAGTCCGGCCGGTCCAAGTCCTCGGGGCATTTGACAATCTTAATAAGATCATACCAGTCCCAATGACTCGATCAAATTAATCTCCAAGGAAGGCAGCAAAGAAAACATTTTCCGGAACACTCAGCAAACCTGCAAGCGTTGGAAAACAAGGTGAATGCATGTCTGTGTTCCGGCCTCCGAAGCGGAAACGCAGATGTACTTTGGAGGAAACAACCGTCGCAAAAGGCCCGATGGATCCTTTGCCGTCGCAGCGTTTGGATTCCGTGCTTCTTCTTAAACCACAAGCGTGTCACCTTGCTCCCGAGACTTTGCAGCGATTACCACACCATGACTTCCCAAGTCTCACCTATCTCGACAATGCGGCAAAGGCCCTCGAGTAGGCCATATATTATTCCTTCTCCGATCACCGAACGTGTACACCGGCAGCGGCAGCCGCAGCAGCAGCAACAACAAGAACAACAAAACTCCATTGCTTCCTTGTTCGAAGGAATTAATCTTGTGTGAACATATATGATGACCTGTTCTTTAAAACAAGTTAAAACGACTTTAACTGCGATACTATCGGCGTTTGAAACATTCTTCCTGACGTGCTTGCTGACCAGGTGGCGTAACCCGCAAGACAAAACTGGGAATCATCTGTTGTGTGGTCTTTCTTGAAAATTACCCAAACCTGATATTGATCTACTTGACTTCACCGAACCAAATAGGAGTTCCTTTCCTTTCCTTCCCAGCACTCAACTATTTGAAAATGAACTGCACTTCAAAGTTCCTTTCACAAAGACATTCACGACATACATATTGTATATTGAAAAGTCTCTTCAAAATTCCTGGTTAGAAATTTTGTACGTCCACGTTATGAATCACATCATCGTTTCTGATGTTGCTAGATTTTTACCATTAATTTTTTTATAAATAAATTAAAAATAAAATAAAATAAAATACGTCCTTCTTTTTTTTTTTAATAAAATATTTTTAATTCAAAAAAATGAAAATATACTCGTGCTTAATTAGGTAGCGTATGTTATAAACTGGCAGGAAAAAACACAAAAAAATCCATCAACATGATTGAGGCGGTAAGCGACGTTGACCCGAAACACGTCTATGGTCTGTGGACCGTAAGAGTTAGTGCTGGCCTTCCGACGTGGCTATTGAATAATGATACCATGAAAATTGTAGGCCGTTGAAATCTGGAAGGTGGACGATCCGACGGCCATGGAAGTAAACGGAGGACATCCTGTGGCACTTTTGGATATTCTCATCTGTCGACCAGGAGAGTAGTGGAATTCGATGATGCGAAGAATATGGAATATGGAAGGCCAGTCTTGGTTGCGGTTTGACCACTGCCGCTCCCCTCCTCTCTCTCCTCTTTCGTTCCCATTCATTTTCCCCTTCTATTATTATTCCATTCTCCTCTCTACTCGATTCCATTTCTATCCCATTTCCTTTCTATTACCATTATTATCATAACCATCATCATCATCATCTCTTATATTTTGTGTTCTCCTGTTTTCCCCCGCGCTTCCTTTCTTCTTCTTCCTCCTTTTTGTTTTTTTATCCCTTTCTCCTCTCTCGCTTCCTTCCTATATAAACCTCTCTTCCAATGTTCCTAAAAGCAAAGGCATTGTCTATCTAGATCGACGGCAGCGTGGGGGGTGAAGTTGGTTTTCGCCCCAAGGTGGCAACTTTTACCATCTTTCTGCTAGCACGCCTGGTATTATTCGCTGGATCTTCTATTCGCGTGATATTAGGGTACCACTTACACCTTACTTGGTTGTTTCCTCCAGATTATTCTCTTGACCCCGAGGAAGTTCCTTTTGGTCTCGAGGTTCTTGCTGTTCTCTTGGTGTCACGACAGGTTTTGTCGGATTAAGCTGATAAACTTTTGTGTATGTGTGTTTTTGTGGCTTCGCATAATAACGACACAATCGTACCAAATTCTTAGGGTTTTGTTTTAAGGCTTCCCTCCGGGTTTTTCCTTGGGACTTCTCGGTTGGGATTGTTTCTCTACGATTTTTTTCTCCCGGAACTAGGAGAAGCTTATTCTGGAGTTACAGTAACTTGCTTTTCATGGAAACGGTGAAACTCATTAAAAGAAGTCGTATCATAAAATTTTCTTGATATTTAGGTCCGGTCCGACGGAATCATAATTTTTCTTGTTGTTGGTAATATGTTGTTTGTAACACGGTGGTATTGTTAAGACAAATGAAAATAGGTATGAAAAGTGAGGAGATAGAGAAATCGCATGACATACACTACTCCTATGGTTATCTTTTATTGATCCTAGCAGATCTGTGGAACACGTTCGTAGGCGGACTATATTTGGGATTGCCATCTCTGGCTGGTGGTAGTCTACCATGGTCAATTCACGGCAGCTCGTTCTAATTTTTCAATAACTTCTTTAATGAACTGACGGGCTGGTTTAGTGGAGCTTTGAAACGATCGAATCGGCTGGGCTTGATATGTGGCCCGAGGACTTTTTATCTTGACAACACAAATTTGTAGTGTAATCCAAGTTATTGTTGGTTTAGCTTTACGATTCTTTTTATTCGATCCTCCAATAGAATAAAAGTCCCCATTAAATTACATAAAAACAGGAAATGAGGGAGTTGTTTCTGTTTTCTCTTCCGGCTTTGTGACACACTCCTAGATTGATGTATTGAGTCGCCTTAACAGCAACTCTCAATTTTAACACCAATAACCACAACCAACTGCAGGTTTACCTTTGAAGGACAGCCCTGTCTCTGTTTTCACTGCACAAAGGAGATGATATGTTCAGTGTTGTGAACGATTATATTTCTGGTTTTGCAAATTATACTTTTACTTTTCTGCCAAATAACACCACTTGGTTTGTCTGCCTGCTTGCAGTTTAGTCCAACAGTATTCTTGAGATGGGCTGTTTCACAGTCTTGAAATGCAAGAAAAAGAAAATTAGGTGTTTTGGAAACAAGAAACGCATGATCGCTGCAGAGACTGTTACATGTGCACTTCCGGAACCAACACAATCTGGACCATCCCTCCAGTCTGCCCCTCCAAGTTTCAGAAACAGAACAAAACCTGCACAATCTGGCCATCGGATACTCAACAGCAGAGTTCGGGCACTGTCTGCTCCTTCTACCCTCGTTTTGGCAGACCAGTATGCTCTTGCTTCACTAGAATATGATGACCAAGAAGAGTGCAAAGGCAGAGGTATCTCAGTGAAGGACGAACGCTTTTCAAATCCTTTGCCGCTGCCCCTTCCCTCGCCACATACTTTCTCTTTGAGGAACTTGGAAAGTTTTAACTTGAACAATACTAGTGGTCCTATCGTATCATCTGGACCTCTACCATTGCCTCCATTAGGGGGAGGAGGCCTCCGGAACTTCTCTTATGAAGAGATTTCGGCTGCTTGTCAAAATTTTTCTGTGGGTCGATGCATGTCAGAAGGCCTTTCAACTACAATCTATAAAGCTACCTTTGGAGATGATAGCATGAGTTTAAAGAGAAGCGAAGCTACAGTTACTCGTTTACTTCCTTCCTGTCAGGTGATATGAACAAGCATCCTCATGCATGTAGTCACACATGTAGGCTTTTATGGATTTATGATAGCTGATACTGAAATTCATGTAGGACCGAAATAATAGCAAGTGTGGAGAAAATTTTGCTATAATTAGCTTGACCTTTTAATAATGTGATCTTTGTTTTATTTCTGAAGTTCAACCTTGCCGGTAATACAAAGTAATGATTACAGAGTTTCGGACTTTCTGTTGCCGACAATACACATTAAGCACTCTTCCTAAGTTTTTCTTAACTTAAGATTTGTATGTATGCTATCTTCTGCTGCTTGAATCCTTGTTGCTGAAATTTTCAACTCATTTCATGTCATCACATGGAATTTATGTTTTTGCAACTTGTCATTTTGCAATCATAGGTTTGCACATTTGTGTGAGAATACGTTGTCTACATATTGATCAAGGATTTTAATTTCGAATGATACCATCCGTACCAGTCTGCCAACAGATCGGTACGCTGATCGCTCGCTACCGGGCGATATCAACTTGGCTACGGCCTGGCTACGGTGAGGGAAGAAGAAACGTCGAGGGAGAAGAGGGAGAAGGCGCTCGAAGAAGAGGGAGAATCGGGAGAACCTTGATGCTTCCCAATCCGACGTCGCCCTCCCTCTACGATCCTGATCCAAGAGGTAACGGAGAGGCGACGACTCGGGTCAGTTGAAAGTTTAGTTCCAGATGAAATACGAGTTTGGGTCGGGTGCTTGTGTTAAGCAATGAAAGTTCTTGTGTTGGCTCAAGAAGAAACAATATCTAGTGAGGAATTAGGATAAGCAGTGGGATATCTCGGTTCTTCTTCACCGAAGGCCGGAGATGCTTGCGGCCTTCGTCGAAGGTCGGAGATGTGTACGGCCTTCTACGTCGTTACCGAACGTCGCAGATGAGGAGAAGACCGTGTCTTGTCCTCATCTAACGTGACGAGGAGAAGAAAAGGAGGCGATGCCGCCGAGGTAGCATACGCCTCCCTTTTATATATATATACACACATACTGAGCGGTACACCCTGGCGTACCGCTTGGTATGTTAGTACCATACCATATCAAGCAAAGCTCGAAACGATGGTATGGTACAAAATTATGAATCTTGATATTGATGGCAAAATTTCAAATGCTTCAACGATTGTGCTATATATTTTTGCACACATGTATCCATGTGCTTTTTGCTAAACGAAAAGTACATTTGCATTAGCATTCTATGGTTAATTAGTATTGGCATCCACTTTGTGGGATTCCACCTCTTCGCCGCTTAAATTGTTGCAATGGTCCATGCCAGAAGCTGTCTTCTCTTTATTAATTTTTTTATTTTCTGAACTATGAACACTAAGATTCTCCTTTTGATATAAACTTAAAATGTTTATGTTTATATTTTTTAGGGTTTGAAGGAGTTTTTGAATGAGGTGAATGTACTAGCATCCCTACAGCATCCCTATCTCTGCAAGCTGCTTGGTTTCCATGCTCAAGAGGGGTCTGATGAGCGGATGTTAATTTATGAGAGGCTCTATCATGGAAGTATAGATCGACTTCTTCATGGGGGATTAGATGGTCGATCCATGGATTGGCCTACACGAATGAAGGTTGCCCTATGTGCTGCAAAAGGCCTTGCATTTTTGCATGAAGAAGGGCCTTTTCAGGTTAGTTCACCACACAATTTAATATACCTCCAACCTTTCCGCATCAGACATTGTTTTTTTGTGGGAGTTCTAACTTCTGGTTTGATTTCGGATTACTTTGTTAAAATGACTAGCATTAGGGACAATATTGCTCCAAAGAGAAATAGTCTTCAGATGTGTCTCTGACAACCTTGTAAACAACACCAAATTCCCATAGTTGTTGACCTTGAATTTGGTTAGTTATCTCTCAAATATAATCTTTTAAAATTACATTCTCTGCTGATTATGTTTTCTACATTTGAGGATGTAGCAGAAAGTAGGGTCCAACATTCTAACAAGAGATAGTGTTTGCTGGAATTTTAATTTTGGGTCTCCATATTAACTATAAAGCACTATAAAATTGTAAACTTTGGTTGTGGAAAATGGAATGGTGATATTTGAGGCTGATTTTTTATAAGGTAAGATGATTAGAAGTGATAAATTTTGGTGGCGAAGGCTGCTCGAATGTGTTGTTTTTAGTTGGAAAAAGACATTGTTATGTAGTATATTGATGGTGAATGCATCACTTCTTAATTCAATGAAGGGAATGGGAAGTGATATATGCAGAAGCTGAGGATAAAAGCATCAAGCTCTGATGGCCTTCAAAATATGATGATAGATAGCCGATACCATATGAACTACAGAAAACTTCTTTTACTGCATCTTTGTAAACTATAATAACACCAAGGGAGTCATAGCCTTAAAATAGTATTACAATATCATTGTAGTAAGAAGACTTGCCAAAAATCATAAAACCTGGAACCCTCTAAAGTACCCTCTAGTCTCTAAATAGACATTTGGATCTTTCTAAAGTGGATTTCCAGTAGTTTAGGAATTCTTATAATCCAGCCTCTCTGAGAAGTAAAGCTTAAAACTAAGAATATTACTTAAAGTAAGATTGTCTAACACCTAGTATGAGCTTTTAACAACATGACCAATGTCAGATACTTAGAGCTCAAATATAATGTTGGTTTTCTCTCATCAACCTAATCGTGTCTGGATGATCGATCACCTAATTAAATTTTTAAATGTGGGACCATAGCAGGACTTAGTGATTACTTTTTGGAAGAATCCTTTTGTTTGCCTCTTATTTGAATAATCGTTCACCTAGTTTCTGGTTTGTATTTTCACCAGTTGTCAGATAGTGTAGACAACTCCGGGTGACAGACCTATTTTAAATCCTACAGAGGTGCCAAGGTAGTGACTGAAGTAAATCTCACAAAAAGGTTTCATAATAATAATATTTTCTTTTAGTTAATACATAAACATAATCAAGATTTGCTTCCGGTGTTCTATAACTCTGGTATTAACATTGATTTAAGAAAAGTACTTAGAAGATATATTTTTGTGTGCAAAGGCAATATATGTCATTATTATAATTGTATACGTGAAGTCTTTAGAAGGTAATACAAATGTCATATACATAATTATTATCTGAATCCAGGCCATAATAAATGTATATGTTAAGTGAATAGATATATACATGATTGTATATTTGTACATATGTGATTCAGGTGTGTATAGATAAGGCATCCTGAGACTTTTTTATCTGCCTGGCATCCATTTATCACCTCTAATAGCAGTGCATATCTGTGCTTTTGTGCAAAGCACATTTATCACTTCTAATAACAGTGCATATCTGGTTGGGTCCACATTAGTACTTTTCTTGCATGTGAGGGGGATTATTTGAGCTTAAATATGATGTTGGGCCCCTTGCTGTTTCAGTCTCTTTTTGGCGTCATATATTATGTACATTGGTCCGCATTTTTTTTATTGACTTTTTCTATTCCAAGGGTGAAAATTTTTTGAGTACTTCAAATGAAACTTCTGGTGATCTTGTTTTGTCAAAAGTGCTTATAAAATTTTCTATAAGTTTAGAAGTAGGTAATTACTGGTTCCAGAACTTTTATAAACACAGTTCATTTCCTACCATCGGACCATAATAAGCAAAGTACAGTATTCCAATTTAATGTGGCAGAATCACACTAGTGATGACTACCACCAAACACAGTTTCTAAAAGCAAAAGCACACAAACAAAATAAATTCTTTTTGTATTTTATTTTGTTTGTTAGATACAAAATCCCATAAAGAACGCCAAATGCAACCTAGTGTTTGCGGTAATTGTTCACTCAACTAAACTTCTGGGAAACAAATGATATTTTGTATCATTAAAATTAATGATTTATTTTCCAGAAATTCCTTCTGTGGAAATGGTTGTGCTTATTTGATGGCCTTTTGATTTTGCAGGCCATGTATTATGAGTTTTCAACTTCAAATATACAAGTTGACAAGGACTTCAGTGCAAAGCTATCAGGATATGGATGTGCAAGCTACAATCCAGAGGCAGACGTCTCTGATTCTTCTATTGTGAGTGATTTACATGATATAACAAGCATAAGAACTACATCCAATTTGCTAAATCTTGCTAAAGAGAAAAAAAAAAACAAAAAAGTTGTTTGCATAGCCAGATTAATGAGTGCAAATTTACTTGCCCCAGAACGATACTTGCATGTGACCATGGTCAGATTTTAGCACATCTCTGGGACATGCTGGACTCAGAGCCTGTTCACCCCAGCACATTGCACCACACAACAGGTTATGCGTGCTCAGGACTATGTTTCAATCTACCTTAAAATCTTCTTATGTTTAACACTGTCAGCATCGCAGAACTCCCTTGAAATTTCAAGGAAATATATAATCATTGTTTGCAGCTATCTCATGCAATACAAATCACAACCCAGTTTTCTACACTGTTAATTTAGTTCTTGGAGTGATTGAGGCCGTGTAGTTATCTCATGCAGCGCATTGCACCCAGTTTTCTACACTGTTGCATGCAGCTCTCATGAGATACAAATCACAACCCAACTATCTCGTCATGTAGCTTCATGCTATACTTTTATCCTGGTGGATAATACATGCATCATGAATATGAAGTTTCTTGTTCTACCATCCTTTTTCTGAATGTATCATTTAGATGTTGATCTTCCATATGATTCTGGAACTGCATTTATACCTTAACCTCAACAAAAAGCAAATGCAGTTTTTGATTTGTTGGACATCTGTGAACTAGACCTGTGAAAAATGAACACAGCAGACTGGACTAAGTGTGAAGTAGTAATGAACATTACAAAAACCACTGACAAGATAATATACTCTATGATTTGTTTCAGGCTACTGCAAACCTATCAGTGGAGACCTTGGAGCAGGGGTTGTTCACTCCGAAGAGTAATGTCTGGAGTTTTGGAAGAGTCCTTCTTGAACTGCTGACTGGTAGGAAAAATCTTGACAACCGCTATCCCAAAGAAGAGCGAAACATTGTGAAATGGAGTAGACCTTTTCTTGCTGATGATTGTCGCCTATCTCTTATCATGGATCCCCGTATGAAAGGGCGTTTCCCTCCAAAGTCTGCCCGAACTGTAGCAGACGTTGCACTAAAATGTCTCCGAAAGGATCCTTCGAAGAGGCCTACCATGAGGTTCATCGTCGAAGCACTCAAGGATGTTCCTGACATGAAATGCCCTAGCCGTTACCCCCTCCAAGAACCATCTGTCATTGCAGGGAAACGGATGTGCAAGTCTCCAAGTCTGACTGGCATCATTCCACCACAACCTCCTCCCAGTTTCTCAATTTCACCTCCGTCAAAAAGCCAATTGTTGCTTTCTCCAAGGACATCAATATCCATACCTTATCCGCCTCTTAAGTGCACTACTACACGTGCAGTAGAGGATAATAGGATAAGCAGTATCAGAAGCTGTTCGCCTGCTATGCAGAGGCTTGAAGGGTTTTGATATGCCTATATTGATTAGTAATTTGTTGTTTTTGGGTTTTTTTTGTTTTTGTTTTTGTTTTCTGTATGTTGTGACTTGATGCAATAGAGGATACAAGATGTATATTTTGTTTGCTTATCCACTCCTAGGTAAAGTAATGGGGGTAGGATTACCATTTGTAGGTAAGCGTTGTGTTGTCAATGAATCTATACCAAAATTTTGTGTATCCCCTGTGTATTGTTGACTGAACTACTCTTCCCCGAGGAGGGAGGGCGAGTGAGTTCCTGTCAAGTCACAGTATTTTGCGAACGGCATCGTTTTCAACTTGTGAGCTTGACTTGAGCCCACCAAGCCTTGCTGTGGTTTTAGACATGGAAATTGACAGGATTTTGATGGTAGATCGCTTCCTGATGAAAAGTTGTTCCTAATTACATTTAAAGGTACGTATCCTATCAATGGCAGATGGATGAGCCGTCCTCCTCCTCCTAAGAGTTGCGACGCTCGTCAATTTGCTATTACACCATCGCTTCCGGCTCAGGCGGTGTTTGTTTCTGTGTCTACGCTGGAAGCCAAGACGAGTGCATCTCTTCCGTAGACGCCGTGAATCACCAGAAGGTGAGCCCCCTTCTATGCATCTTCTTACGTGAACGATCCAGACTGACAATTGCAGTAGCTGCTAGCTATTGCGACCATCGAGGGGTGCCGTACCCATGACAAGCAAGCATTGTGATAGTTTGTGCTGCTAGCTATCATGGGCATGGGCATGGGTATGATCTCTGATACTGGTCCCCGCAGGGCCTGTAGATGAATGAACTCGGGGGAGCACAAACAAAAGATATTAGCGTTTCAGGTGGTGTTGAAGCCGTTTCTCTTCTGCAGAAATGAGTATAATATTCGTCGGCTTCTAAGCGATGACAACAAGTATGAAAAGTTTCTGCAGAGAAGAGCAAAACCTTCAAGCGGCACCCTTCTTCGTCCGTCACCGTCGTAAACTTTTAGCCATGAGGAGTATTTGTTGTCACTAAAAGCAGCTATTTGCGACGGCAAGTGCATCCTTCACCATCTTTCTTTCTATGGATGCATGCGGGAAATATAAGGCGAACATCAAACGAGGATGGCGGCGACGTCTCTGAGCGATGGTTTCATCTGAAGTTGGACATCCGACTCTCGAGCAGGTCAACGTAAGTGAGGCTTTTAATTTTTTTTGTCGGGGACCCTCTTGGTGACATGTTCTGTGCATGTGCATGTGCATGTGCATGTGCATGCCTGGCGAAGTTGAGAGAAAGGGCACATCATACGGTCCGGTCCCTTAATAAAGTCAAACGGGAAAGCCACTCCACCTACCACTCTTCCAATCGCTTTAGCTTTACCTTTACCTTTTCCTTTAGGTGATAACTTGTCCTTTCTCTTTTATTATTATTATTATTATTATTATTATTATTATTATTATCTGAAAAGCCGTACCTGCGGCCACCACCACCAGCTCACGGTTCGCTTTACTCGCTTTTTATCATGCAAGGGTGAGGGTGGGGGACCCTTGGGACGAGAAGCACTTTTTAAGTCTTCCCTGAGCTGGCAAGGCCTGCTGCTGCTTGTGCCCCCCTTCCCCACAACGAAAGGGAGCGCTTTGCCGGCATGCAAGTCGTTCATTCGATGGAGATTATTATAAGCAATTATGATGTGAATGTTCCAGTAGCATACATGACCTACCTAGTAGTCTTTTCCTTTTGCCAAAAATTAAAGCAAAAGAACAAAAAAAAAAGAAACATACGTGAGCTTGCGCCATCAAGATTTATTATGTTTGTCAAAGATAAAAAAAACAGTAATCGCTTCTTCAGGTCAAACTTTGATCCTTGGGTTGGGGGATCAACTCACATCCAACTGTTTTACGCTAAATAATCCTCTCAACCTATTACGAAAGAAAAGCGCAAGTATCTCCACCCGCTCGATTGTCCTTTCCACCTTTCCAAGTCCAAATGCTGCAGGGACGTACCAGGAGACGTACGCCTTCCTTTTGGTCTTCGCTCTTTATGCCCCCCTCCCCCCACAGCTCACTTTTGCTGCTACCGCGTATCTATCTGTAAGCAAAAGAACACAAATTGAATGATCGATCAGCAGCATCTGCTTGAAGAGGGAGGGGTCCAATATATATATATATATACATGGCTAACACAGTCCAAATATCTGTCTCATCATGTTCTACCGCGTAAGATTGGCATATATAACATGATTACTCCCTGCACTGGCTACCTATTGTAATAGGAGACTAGAGGTGTCTCGAGGTTGAAGTTTAGCTAGTAACTCTCATCTCCCACCTCGACATTCAACCAATGTGGTGGAGCTCACTTGCACAGCATCATACAGCGACGGCGAGTAAATTAAGGACGAGTTGCATGATGATTTGCTCTCCGCTTTATTACCTGTTTAAACATTAACGCTATCTCAACTCTGTTTACTTGTGTCGAGTGAATGCAGAGAATCTCTGCTCAGGTCAACTGGATTCATGTTGCCTGTTAAAAGCAGCCGATGCTCTTTCAGCGGATTAACGTTTTGTCAGCGCGCTCGGTGGTCGCCGCCATGGATGCATGCTTCAATTTTTTCTAAGAGAAAAAGCAGGGCAATGGAGCTCGAAACCAGACGAACACGTGGGAATGTAAGATCCCTCCCTCCATGTCCCACCTCCTCCGTTTGCAACACGGAGCTTCTCGATCAACTAATACTTATCGACCAACTGTTATACAACTAGGATGGATCTTATCCACGCCTTGATGGCCACGGGAATCATCATCTTCTGCCACTTAGATCGAAACAAATAGACTAGTGCAAATCCAGCCTAAATAAGAAACAACCATCTAATAGTTGCAATGAGAAAATATAACACCACCATTATCTAAATCACATGAAGAAACAAGCGTTGACTTTTAGTTTTTGACAATACAAGAGCCCGGTGAACAGGAATCCGGCGATAGAAAGTCCAGCTAGACAATTTAAACACTTCACATTCTGCCCAACATAAGAAACAACCAAAAAACAAAAGGGAACACAAGGCATTTGCATTTCACTCCTACTTTTATAGTTTACTCTCCTCCCCTTCAATAAGCAAGCCGGATTCCTTTTCGCCATAGAACTCAATCTTCCATACGATCTTATGCTGAGGTAACTCACCTCATGTCTTGGACTTCAAGAAAAAGCAACAAAATGAAGAGGCAAAAAATTCAGAAATTCAAGTCGATTCGTTCTCGAGGTGCTCCTGTGGGCATCTGATCATTTCCAAAATGCTTACGACTTCACTCATGCCAGGCCGGTTTGATGGGACTTGCGATGTACAGATCAACCCCAACTTCACCACCGGCACACCCTCCTCTGCTGGAAACTTCCCACCGAGCCTCCCATCCACTAGCTCATCAACTCTTCCTTCTTCCAATGCGACCCTCACCACATCACAAAGCACTACCACATCGTCCTCCATGTACTCCACAGGTCGCCTTCCTGTAATAATCTCCAGCAGCAACACTCCAAATCCGTAGACATCACACTTCTCGGTGATCTTCACCATCCGACATGCAAACTCTGGTGCCATATAACCAAGTGCACTCTGAATTTTGCTGCTAAGCACATAGCGGTCCAGCATCGGTAATAGTTTTGCCAGTCCATAGTCCCCAACTTTGGCCTCACCTGAGCCGTCGATAAGGATGTTGCTTGATTTGAGATTGTAGTGGATTATGTTCAGCCGATGTAGGTAAGCTAAGCTTCTCGCGATCCCAAGAATAATATCAAACCGTTCTTGCCACGAGAAGGGGTTCGAGGTGGAACATTCATGCAGGTGCTTATATAGGCTCCCACCGGAGACAAACTCGTATATGAGGAGCTGCAATGATTGCGTCCAATAGTAACCTTCAAGGGCCACCAGATTAGAATGTCTTAGTTTTCCCAGCTTTTTAACCTCCCTTTCGAAATCTTCCTGCGATTTCACCAGGCTTGAAACTGTAAGCTTCTTGATGACCACAGGCCTCCCATCCCGGAGATTCGTCTTATAGACCGTACCAAAGCCCCCACGACCCAGCTCGCAGTCCTTGTTTAGGATTGTATGTGCTCGGGTGCTGAAATTAGGATCACTCCCGGAGAACATTACAAGTTTGCCAGAATTTGCATCGGTTGAAGGAGAATTGCTGTAGTAGCCATCAGACAGAGCAAGGGCAGCAGCAGAATGGGGGTCAGTGGAGGCCCGGACTCGCATGTTAAGGATGGTAATTGTGATGACACCAAGTGCAATAACAACAGCAGCTCCAATCGCAATAAGAGCAGATATGCTGAATATGATTTTCTTGTGGCGGGTGTTCTTGGATGAAAGGGAGGTATTGGCAGATGAAGTGGAAGAGTTAGGATTGAGGACTATAGGCTTGGGAAGAACAGTGGGGCAGGAACGGTTCACGACCGAGCCACAGAGACCAGGGTTGTCAGAGAGGGAGGAAGGTGGAATGGCATTGAAGAAGTTTCCAGCAGGGAGGTCCCCAGAGAAGAGATTGTGGGATATGTTGAAGGAGAGGAGATGGGGGAGATTGGAGAGCTGCTTTGGGAGGTTTCCACTTAGTCGGTTGAACGAAAGATCTACTTTGTGAAGGTTGGTGAGGTTGGCTATGGTTTGGGGTAACGGACCCGTGAGATTGTTCTGCGAGAGCATCCTAAAATGAAACAATTTAAACAAAAGAGTCATTAGAACAGGTTTATGCTGAAATCTGATTTACATTGAGACAATGATACAAAAGAGTGAATTACAAAAATCACCTCTGATTTCGCAGGCAAAGTCAAACCGAAAGCTGAAATAATACCGGCTATGTCAAGGAAGAAACAAAATAGTATCTCATGCGACAGGATTATCAATTTCAGAGAGAAAAGAAACATTACGTTGTAAGCAGTTATTTGCGTTATTTAACCACTCCTGATAAACTAACCAAAGTAACATCTAAGAGCAGCAACTGGAAAGGGACATACATATTAAGAAAAGCAACAAGAAAGCTACTCCAAAACCAAATGGATAATCCACGCTGCTGTGACCAAGGCATAAGTGCCCTTTGGCAGAGAATTTATACAGAAAAGCAGGAACGAAGACAGGTTGATCAACGGAGGGCCACCTCCTCTTATGATGATAAGGGCAACAAATACCATAATTCCAGATCCAACAATTGGAAATATCCTATCTACCACCAAGCACTGACAAGCGGAAAGAACTTACATGGTTGTGAGGGAAGAGCAATTCCCTATCTGTACTGGGATTTCTCCAGTCAGAGAGTTCTTCTCCAGCCTCAGCTCCTTCAGAGAGACTGCTTTCCCAATCTCCAGTGGAATGCTCCCATTAATCAGGTTCCTACTAAGATCAAGGACTTCCACTGTCTCCAGCGCCAGAATACTTGCTGGTATAGATCCGGAAAGCAAATTCCAGGACAGGTTCAATTGCCGCAAGCTCAGAAGATTCCCGAGAACCAATGGAATTGCACCAGAGAAAGCATTTCCCGACAAATCTAAGTAACTCAGACTCCGAGTTGCGGAAACTCCTACGGAGATACAACCGCTCATTTTGTTCCCGAACACTGAAATTCGCTGCAACTTCAACTCAAAAACCCAGGATGGAAGATTTCCAGTCAAAGAGTTATCACTTAAATCCAAGTCCGTCAGGCTTCTACAAGCACCAATTGATTCCGGCAAGCCTCCAGTGAGCCTATTTCGTGACAAATCCAGACTTTTAAGAAGCTGCAGCTTGCCAATCGACTCAGGAACTCTGCCGGAGAACCAGTTTCTGGACAAATCAAGGAACTCCAAGTTTTTCATTTCTCCGATCCATGTTGGAACTTTGCCTGAGAACAAGTTCGACGCCAGCCTCAAGTGACTGCACATGGAGAGCCTGTGCATAGAATCAGGAAGGCTCCCGGTGAGAAAATTCACACTAAAATCCAGATATTTCAACAGCAAACAGCTGCCCATGTCATCAGGCAACCGACCAGAGAGATGATTTTGTCGCAAGCTGATTGACCTCAGATTGTATAGCCGACTGATTCCGCCAGGTATCTCGCCGACCAGAGAATTGTCGGATAGATCAAGTGATCGAAGACCATATAAGGACCAGAGCCCCTTGGGCAAAGAACCGGACAGCCGGTTTGAGGAAAGATTTAAAGCCGCCAACGTTAAGCAAGAGCCGAGGCTCGGTGGGATGTGCCCTGTGAAGGCGTTGTTCGCCAATGAGAGGGATCTTAAAGACCTACATTGCCCGAAAAATTCATCCGGGATTACACCGGAGAGGTTGTTTTCGCTGAGGTCGACAACCCGAAGGCTCTCGAGTTGGGAAAGCTTGGGATTGAGGCTCCCGGAGAAGTTGTTCTTGGAGAGGTACAACTTCTGGATGGATTGGAGCTGGAGGAGGCCCCGTCCGATCTTTCCCGAGAGGGAGAAGCCAACTAAGGAGAGCTCAGTGACTCGGTTGGTCTTTGCATTGCACTTGACGCCGGTCCAGCCGCAGGGATCGTCTTCGTCCTCGTTCCAAGAAGCGAGCTTGGACAGGGGATCCAGAATGTCGGCCTTGAAGACAATCAAGCCGAGCACGTCGTCGTTTAGACCAGGGCTTCCTGATTTGGCCAGAAGAGGGCAAAACAACAGCAAGGACGCCAGGCAGAACGCCAGATTCCTCATCCTCCTGCTCAATAACATTCGGGGTAATGCCTCTGAGACTAGAGGAGGAAATGGTAGGCCTCGTAAACTCAAATTCGCAGCCTTCTTGCTCCTTTGATCGACTTCTCTGCTCTCAAAATTTTCCTATGGATTTATGGAGGAAAAAGAATGCGCACGATGCCGACTATCGGTGGCTGGGGATTACAGCGGATGGAGAAACCGCAATGAAGGAACTTAGCCAAGATTTCATGAAATGGCCGTCGATGCAGCTCTCTGCTTCTGGATGGTCGGAACAAGGTCGATGATCGGGTTCCCCCCCAAGACGGCCGCCACCTTGGGACTCGAGGGAAGATAAGAAAGAGGGAGGAGATACATGATGAGGACGGAGCAAGAAGATGCGAAAGGCTTGGGTTCCTGCCGAAGAAACTTAAAGGCAATGGATGAAGTAGGAACCCCAGGCGACGATGATAGCCGCGTAAACGGGGGTGCGGTTTCGGAGAGGGGATGAGGAAGGTGGCGGATCTACCATTAATAGGGAAGCGGTGAACACTTATCAGGCGGGGAATCAAGGGAGACCTCGCCGGAACTCTGGCCGGACATGATGAAGGGGGCCGGGTGGTTGGCTCTTCTCGGTATCTATTAAATGCTATCTATCAGCACTACTGTTAGCTCTGTTGTTCTGAGTGCCAAAGGTTGGTTTTGTTACTCGCACTTTTTTATGCTACCAAGGAAAAGTTAGATTGACGGAGAGTGACTGAGTGAATGAGCGAGCGAGCGAGCGAGAGAGTGAGAGAGGGAAAAGAGAGAGAGAGAGAGAGAGCCACAGAGGAAGGTCTCTTTTCTCGGTGGATACATGGCCAAGGTCCGTGGAATACTATCTGACGGACACGTGGATGCGCCCTTTTGTAGGTTGGCAAGAGTAAAGGGTTCAGATTGGCCATGGCGCTCTAAGATGCGTGCGGAAACCTGTCCAAACAAAACAACAGAGCCTGAGATGCAGAGTTTAATAGCAAATGGTGACTGGGGATGCGCAACCCAAACCAATCTTCAAAATTAACCGGCGGAGATGCAGTTGATGGGCGGATAAATGCAGCTTACATCCTCCTCCTGTTCTGGTCGGACACCATGATTGCAGCAGCGTCGCGGGCACAAAGGAAAAGTAACCCGCGATAGGAGCTGGAAAGAAGGAAGCCCTCTCCCTCTCTTTTCTGGGTGCGTTATAAGAACCTTTATTCGGATGGGATCCTTTCTTTTGTGAGGCATCCTTCCCAGTGAATCAATCAATTCTCCCTTGCTAAAGGGCATTCGATTCACCCTTTTAATGATTACAACAACGTTCTTTGGTCTCCCCTTCTCACCCTTTTTCTGACACCAGATTTTAAAATTTGAACACCCAATGGACCGGCCTGGGTGATGGTCTGTGGAGGTGTTTCTGTGGGTGTTTGTCTCCGAGGTAAGGCTTCCCACGTCGGATGCACTGCAGTGCAATAAATACGGACGCAATAAATGAGGCCTGCTTCCCCTATTAAATATCTCCTCCACCCAAATAAAGAGGCTTTAGATGGATGCAATAAATGGTGCATGTCTTCTTCCTCGGGGCACTGTGCGCGGAGGCAGATGGTTCATCGCCTGCCTCAGTGTACCCGGAACGTGTTTGGCTGGTCGAACCGAATCACTCGTGAATTTTCCAGGGTGACGTGGTTTGTCACGTGTTGGGCGAGGGAGAGAAGTAAACAAAATTTCTAAATCAAAAATATATATATATATATATATATATTTAAGATTAATAATCAACGACATATCGAAAAGTGAGACAATACATTTAACATAACTTCCGTCCGTCCGTCCGTCTATATCACAGAAAAATCTGGCCTCGTCATCAAAGAATAGTTAATCCCATCTAGGACCGAGGGGTAAGGTAGATCGGAAACAAAGGGTTGTTGGTACAAGACATAATCCCGCCACAGTCATCCGAGTGTGTGGCGTCTCTGGCACGGGCGACACCATTCTGGGTTATGAATAACAAACGTAGCAGAAGGTGCCAAGTGGCATAGATGATGACACCTCCGTGTGGCAAAAGGCAGTATGTATTATCATGTGTGTCGCTCGTGGATTCCAGTTTTTGAGCAGCCGTAGTAAGACGCACTAGCAGCATGGCATCATGCATGTCATGTGGTAGGCAGGCAGCATTCGTTCAATCCCAGTACCATTGGAGTGACGGGCCGGGCCGGGCCGGTTATTATCATTCCACCCGGTCACGGAGCAAAAGGCAACCCCGCACATGCAGCTCGCCGCTCTTGCTATTTCAATTTCGTTGGTTCCTTCTATTTACAGAGAGAGAGAGAGAGAGGTGAGGGTTCAATTTTGTCTGGCGCAAACTTTGGGACGGTTAGTCATTC